GATATTCCCATAACCTAACCTTCTTTGAGCGCGTACTAACACAGGTGTCAAACTCAAGCAAACTGGTGGGTTTCTTGCTGCAGAACTTCTGTAGTACTGAATCCAGGGTTATCATGCACAAAACACGTGTCCAACTACTACTCGAATAACGTTCATTTGTTCACAGCACTATACGGGCTACACATAGACTGAAAGTCGGAGTAGTGTAGAAGTACTTTACAACGAGAATACTCAGCAAGAATAATGAAGTAAAATATGTTACCGGGTGCAACATTCAAAGGCTTGGACCACTGTGCAAACGAAGGTTCAGACTGAACTTAATAGTGTTTAATGAGCTTCTTAACAGGCTAACTTACGGTAAATGCACATACATGTGGTTCATAAATAAAGCTGCACATGGACTAAGAAACACAACATCAATAGCAGCAGTTGAGCATTTCAAAACGGTCACTGAGCAGAACCTCCTTATGACAGGATATGCCCAGATATGGAACAGTTTACCTGGGGAAGCGTGTGGGTCAAGCACTCTGAATAGGTTTACAAGACTGCTTAACTCCGCAACACACAACTGTGCTACAAAAAGTGCCACCAATACTGCTGCTAAACTACACACATTATAGGACCTCTCTATGTAAAAACATTTTCCAGCCACAAAGATGCGGGAACTTCACCTGTTTTTGTTGTTTTTTCCGCCAAACACTTGGATAGTTGGAGTATGGAGACATGATTAGTTTATGGGGAAGATGGGCTGTGGTGAAAACTCAAAGAATTACGTGGAAATTTCGGCGCTAAACGAACAAATGATTTAGCCCAAAACTTCAAAGGCCCACATCATTAAGATAAAGTTCAGTGATGACAACATGGCTCAAATGAGGAAAATATGCTGCCAGTTCTCGACAGTCCATTGTTCCTCGAAGGAATAAAAGTTACTGTCCAGCTAGCAGGAATTACCGATCCTATTCCCCCATTTGACTCTTTCATCATTTGAATATTTACCTATCCCAGAATTACTCGAATTCGTGGGTGGTCACAGTGGTAATGAAAATCTAGACATGCAGTTAAATCTAAGAGATCAGCTCACCTAATTACTCTAAGGTGAACGTATTCGCAACGATGCTATGCTTCTCTAGTACTTCATCGAATGGTGAACGTAAGTCCTTGATAATGCTACATATCTTAACGTGAACCGCCATTGACCTGGAGTTCTCCGAATGTTTATTCCTCTGCGCAAAAACACCTAATTGTAATGACATGCGTCCATATTGCTGCAAACGGTAACACTTGAATTGAGGGAAATGCTTTGACGTATTCACTTCCATTACATGATTAACTAGAAACTTACTGATTCCCGAAATCGTCAATGCTGGTTCCTTTGGTCTCTGAGGCTATAGGCATAAAAATTTGTGGTGAAATATACGTTTACACAGTGTGACGTGGTACTGCGAAGACAAGTCAAACATGTCGGCTGCCTGCGGCAGAAAGTTGGAATCCTGCATGACCATAGTGACGCCCATTGGGGGAAAAAGTATGACTGAAAGCAATCGAAACTTTAGTACTCTGTATGTGCTGGAAAGTGGTATTCCTTTGCTTTTTTCATAGCTAGTATAACCTGTTTTTTAGTAACACCTGATGACCCTTCTGTATCTCTCAGGACTCCCAAAACCTTGTAGTTTTGTCGACATGTATCAATATTAAAATGCTTGCGAGCTGGCTTCCCCCATTTTGAATCCCTAACGCCCTGAGAGGTCAATCCTGTCGGATTCTCAAATTCTCATCCCCTACGGTACGCGTATTCGTGAAGTTGGCCTATTTTCTTCACTGCTTCACAGGGCTGACCCCACTCAAAGGGATGAATTTTTCACTTTCCCTACTTTCCACCTCTTCAGTCAAAGACCCCTGTAGTATGCACGTCTCTCAACGTAGCCTTCCCGTACTTCTTTTAGTCATCTCACCATGTATACTAACACATTTTATGTTCTCTGAAACCTCAGTCTCTCCCCAAATTATGTGCAAGACGCCGAACTTGCCTTCTGCCCCCGTATGTCACTGTTTGCCGATGATACCAGCTACACCATCGTCGAACTGTAGGCCCGTTGCAATGCCATCCACCTCTGCTCTATATGGGACATTTTTAGTTGTTAAGAGGTCCTTTGCTTTGTAGACCATAATGTTAACTGGTTTTGTGGATGTAGTGCCATAGGGATACTAATCTTCTCCAGCTTTTATGAGTAATAGAGGTTAAGCCGCAGAACATCGCTTGTGAAACCGCTGCTCAGGTTCATCGCATAACCTGCTTTTCTTAGAACTAGCTACCACTGAGGCTCAAACAACAGCGAGTAAGACACACAGTAATAGTATGACTAACCAGTAAAACGAAACAATGAATATAAACCAATGTCAAAAGCTTCAAAACCAGAAACTATGGGATAGTGAACAAGAAAAACGAAGATACACTACCACGAGGTAAAGCGGCTTTTCTACCGCTGAAATGTAATCAACCAAATTGTAGCAGAATAGCTGTGCTGGCGCGTACAAGAAAACAAAAGCCAAATTATTTCGTTCAACGTAATCCAATTTCAATTTTATATATGCCCTGAACTAGGAAAGAAGTGGCGGGAAAGGCATCCACAGGAGGTTTTCTAATAACGAGAAAATAGCGCGGGTAGCGGGTCAATTTACAGTGGTACTAACTTGGCAGCTTGAAGGTCCTGGACGTATTGCGCGGAAAATGTGAGAATGGCGACGTGAGTGAGGGGGACTCAAACCCCATCTCGCCTAAACTACCTCTTCACAGATGAAGAATTCCTGACAGACAACTTATCGATCCTTCCTCCTTTGGGCAGAAGTGACCACGTTGTTACCGGCTTACAGTTTGTCTGTGAAATCAATCTAGCCAGACCTACCAACGCACGCCGTTGCAACTTCAGACGACTTAACACTCCGGCTCTTCTAACCGCACCGAGACAGACGGATTGGGAGGTTAACCATGTGTGGCAAGCAGTGAACACCCATTGGAGGTTCATACTTGACAAGATCGTGCATGCAACCAGTCAGTGTGTTCTGCTTTCGAGACCGAAGTGCTTCAGGTTACCTAAGGCAATAAGGAACTACACCTGCAGGCTACTTAGGTTGAAGAGACGCCAATGGGCTGAACGCAAAAGGATTGGCACCGAATATACTTACGGGCAATTCAAACAGACAAGAAACGTATGTACGAAGGCACTGAGAGCCAATCGGCAGTGGCATCAAGTCAGGCTTACAAACATATTTGCTTCTAACCTGAGAGGTATCTTCCGCTACGCTGCTTTGCTCCGGCAGGCTAAAACGGAAGACTCTCAACTGCTAGATGCGAACTGACTGACTAATAAAGACACTGAAATCCCTAAGCTATTGGCCGACCAGTACCTGCAAATCCTTTCGTCATCGTCCACCTACTCAGCAGCTTACGGATATCCCACTAACGGAGTAGGACTCTCGGTTGTTGACCTAGGCGTTGGGCTAGCACAATGCAAACTGCCACGGCCCATCAAAGCTTCAGTCTTGTCCGAAACTTTAAGCAAGTCACTCAAGAGTTCTGTGAGTCAGGGGCTAGTACCCGACTCTTGGAAGTTGGGCCACATAACCCCAGTCCTCAAAGAGGGTCAACGAAGTAATCCGAAAAAAAACAGGCCGATGGTACTTCCATCCATTCCTTCCAAAGTAGTGGAATCGTCAATATTTCATGAAGTGAGGGATTACCTCACAAAGATAAATTTCTTTGCGCCCCAGCAACATGGATTTCGAAGAAGGTACTCCTATATCACCAACCTGCTCACTGTAGTAGATAGGTGGACTAGCATTACTGCCCGTCGAGGACAAATTGATGCCATCTACCTAGACTTTGTCAAGGCGTTTGGTCGTGTGAATCATGACTGCCTTATTGATAGATTGAAATCAGTTGGGATTCAACCTCCGCTAATTGGCTGCTTGTCTTAGTAACCACGAGGCCGTTCGTTCGGAGTTCGTGTGAGTTCCTCTATGTCCGAGGAAACAGAATGTCCTAGTGGTGTTCCCCAAGGTTCAGTACCAGGGCCTCTCCTTTTTCTAATATACATAAACCACTTGCCTCTACAGGTTTCTTCCAAAATCCTTCTTCTGCCGATGATGTGAATCCGAAGAGAAATCAGAAGTGAAGAAAACGGCGTTTCTCTACAGGAAGGCATAACTTCACAACTGGGCGGTCAACAACGGGCTGGCATTTTACCCTGGGAAATGTAAGGTGATGCAAGTAAAGCACGATCCATCTCGTGTATACAGCCTCAACGGCACGGAACTTGAAGCGTCACTGACAGGGAAGGATTTGAGCATCTTAGTCCCCTAAGACTCAAAATCCTATGCCGATTGCGACAGAAAAGCACTTCGCGGAAACTTGGTGATAATGACTCTTAAAGGAATTTTCGGGCAATTAGATAGTAGATGTTTGCACCAAACTTTCAACAGCTTCATACTGCCCCACCTGGAGTTCAGGACCATCGTCTTCCCCCTTCTCTGCAGAAGGACAAACTAAGCTTAGAACTCATCAAGAGGCGTTCGACAAAATCTGTTCGAGGACTTAGGTCTGAAACATGCGAAGAACGGCTGGTTGCGCTGGATCTGTATTCTCCGAAATACGGAAGGCTAAGAGGAGACTTGATAATGGCCCACAACACTCTGAGCAAGACTGACCACCCACTCCGTCACTTAGTAAATCTTAGCTGCAGCACTAATCTTAGAGAATACACGCAGAAACCAAACCTGGAACATAGCAGGTTAAATATCAGTCACAACCTATATTCCCTAAGAGTTGTTAAACTATGGAACACTATTCCTCAAGATGTGATCCAGGCTACTTCGTCTGAATCTTTTAAACGCCGACTGGATACCCACTCGACGTGTATCTGGCATCTGTCCAGAACTAATTGAATTTTCACACTTTAACTGCCACGTTTTCCTCTTTCTTTACTTGTATACAGGTTAAGAACCACAAAAGGTAGTGATCCACGGATTGCACACTCGGAAGCCAGTTAAGCGAAAGCTAGTTAAACGAAAGCTTCTTCTATCCCGTCAACAATCATTTGAACCTACATCTGAGGGCGGGTATTTCACAACCTTAAATACCACGCCAGCTACACGACATGGACGTTACCAAGGGGTTCGTTGTGTGTTGATTTATTATATTTTTACTGTAGAAGCCCAAAGGAAGGTAAGTCTCGGACATGAAACTATGAGAGTTACACCAATCAGGTGGTGATTTTTCAGACTCAACGGAGCTTCATGAATCGAGGTCTGAAAATCCAAAGTTGAGTGCGTTGCACGAATATCATCTGTAAGTCTGACTTATGTGTTCATGTGTTAGTCTGCCAGTTCCTGTGAGAAGGCGAGTTCGTGCACTCAAGAAACTGCAGTACGAGACGTTGAAAATCGATTCAGACTTCTACAAAGAATTGTTCGAACTTGAAGTTAAATACGATGCTAAGCACCAGCAAATTTTCACTAAGGTAAGTCTTCTGTAGTTCTGTTACACCATGCAGAGGCGAGATATCATATCAGGGGAGGTGGAACCTAATGATGAGGAGTGTGACTGGCCGACTGATGACGAATTGGATATGGACAATCTGTCAGAAAGGTTGAAAGATAAAGTTAGTGTTACCAAGGATTGCAACAATGGAGGTGAGTGGTACGATCATATGTAACGTTTTATAGCTACCGAAGCTGAAACGAAAGGTGTCACAGACTTTTGGCTTAAAACATTGGAAAACATATCTCTGTTCGATGAGATGGTACAAGAACACGATCGTGACATACTGAAACACTTAGTGGACGTGAAGTGTGTTCTTCACACAGGCGAAGAGTCAGTGAGTAAACGATAAGTCATTATCTCTTCAGGGATTCACGCTGGAATTTTATTTCTCCCCAAACGAATACTTTACAAACAGCGTCCTGACAAAAAGGTATTACTTCAATTACGAAATACCGAGTGACGATCCATTTGGATATGAGGGGCCGGAAATCGTTCGTACCAAAGGGTAAGGTTTATTAACATTGCTCACACAAAGTAGCTGTATAATTAACTGGAACCCAGGAAAAAATGTGACGGTAAAATTGATTAAGAAGGTTCAAAAACGGAAGAGTGGGGGTGCTAAACGAACTGTTACAAAAAGTGTTCGAGAAGATTCCTTCTTCAACTTCTTTGCACCTCCTGCAGAAAGTATGTTGATTTAAAATAATTAAACACCCTCCTTAGGTCTTTCTGACGATTTGGTAGGTTTGTCATATTTTGAATAAATTCTGTAGGACGAGGACACCGAGTTGTTGTTAGAATCTGACTTCAAACTTGGCCAGTTTCTAAGAGAAAGTGTTATCCCAAGGGCTGTACTATACTTCACTGGAGAGGCAGTAGATTCTGAGGTAAACTACTAAGTAACGATATTTTGTCAGTTCGATGACGAAGATGATTTAGATGATGAAATTAGTGATGAAGACGATGACGATGATGAAGACGATGAAGTAAGTTCTCAGTTATATTTGTTAATTCTCCACATTGGCTATCTTCCGGTAGTGCTATTTGTTTGATCTCATTATATTATAAGATTACTCTTCGTCTTGTCAAACAAGAGTAAAATTATAATCGGTGTGATTTAGTTTCAGCAGCTATTAGACCTCGCACTTATAGTTCGATGATACCTATTAATTATGGGTAACAGTCATTGAGCAGTTCCTTTTGCGCAATGCATTCTTATGTAACCCGCCTTTATTTTCGTTTGTTTCAGAATGAAAAAGAGAATTCCAATGTAAGTTTATAATCCTGCTAATTTTTTATGCACTTCCGTCATCATGATTTTGAACTTACATACCAGATAACCTCAACTGTTTATTTCATTACATGATCTAGCGTGTGCAGTATATTTCTAGTCCTGATCTGTATGCTTCAAACCATGTACAGGTCTATGCATTAAGCAGTGAGCCACGTGTACTGTAATAACATATACACAATCGCACCGGCTGAAGTGAAGCAAGGCGTAATCCTATGATTGCTCGGCTAAAAGCTGACTAAGCCAATAAGGTAAAGCTTAACGTGTTATGTTGTGCTGGTCTCCTTAAAAGTTTGACGTGATAATCAGTTTACTGTGGAAACTGGTTGACACTTCGTAACCCAACTAATAGTTACAAGTCGGTGGGGTTCTGCAACCTCATCCCAACTGATTGATGGGTAATACTCGTCCCACTTAGCTTTGGCCACAAAAGGCAGCTAATCCATCCTAAGCATCAGTGGATCAATAGTTCGCAATGATCGCTAGCAGTGGTGGTTGACGGAAACGGAAGGAACAGAAAAAACATCAACAGTAGATAGTTCTTGACATGTTTCTGTTCACTGACCATACTCACAAGAAGACGATTGTTAGTGAGATCATCACCTGAAAGGGATGGACTTTTCATAACCTCACAACAGACAGCTCGATAGTTTTTGGGAACACTTCGGAACGCAGTTCAGCTGGTCTGCAGACATGCTTCAGTGGTCGAGCAACCAACCCAAACAGGACGTAGATGTTGGTCATTTTCTGCGTTAGCTCTTTCAAACTGAAAGATTCAAAACATCGAGACCTGAAGGTTCATCAACAGGTTCTTTTAAAGGAGGGATGTATAAAAATCAGCACAATGTAATGGCGATACTAAGTAGTTCATTAAATTTGAAGTAGTTTCGTTAAGTAGACTGTCTAAAAAATGTGGATAAATCTTGTAAAAATCACTTTGAATAGCACCGCATGCGAAATCCGCAACTACGTATTGAGTACTGAGTATATTGCGCTCAAGTCCGCATTATCCTGTCGGACTATATGCTTTACGTATACCTAGCCACTACCTACTTCTACATGCACTGTTAGCCTAAGTAAGATTCAAAGAAAGATGAGTGAACAAACTAAAACATCGATGAAGCTAATGGAGTCTCTAACTGTTGATCTGAGACGTTAACACTGGTTTTTTGATGTCCTCGAGGTAACTGGATTCCATAACTAAAGAAATAACTCCACAATGGCGCGAATGGATTCACTTTCCGATGTTTTTCTCCTGTACACTTTTATCCACTCTGTTATTCAACTTCATAATTGGTGTGTTTGTGGTTTTCCTCTCATCCTCTGACTACAGAAATTGATCTTGTTATAGGCAGATCCGTAGTAATGCTGTGACTCATTGATTTAGGTAAATGACTGCCAGTGGTTCACGGGCTCGAACCCCGCCCCACCTACCGAGGTTGTAGGCAGTCAGATAATATCATTAACCTTGACACAGTAGATGTGGCTTATTGCCTACTGCACGAATGTGCACAAGGTGGCTGGATCTTTCATTTTTCCGAAGTAGATCTAGAGTACGCAGATGATATACTCTGACTAAAGGGGAACTATGAAAAGGTGCAATGTCTCCTGAGCACATAAAGTGGCGGAATACGTCTGTGATACGCTTCTTTCCGGGAAAATGCTAAATGTTACCCCAGAACTGTCCCTGCCTCGTTTAACAATCTGGAGTGAAATAGTTGAGCACGTTTACCACTTCACTTGCGTTAGAAGTCGGATGAACCCTCGTGGGTTAGTAACCAACAAAACCTGCACAAATGCAAAAACTTTGTGGTGCCGACGTGATATCCGACCGGTTATTCGGTGTCAACATTAATGATATTAAAAGTAATGCCCATGAGAGGGACTTCAAGTGTTTGACAACTGATGCCTTCGGGGTATAAGCCGTGCGTCGTAGTGCCACAAAATCAGCAAGGAGTAAGTCAGTTGATGAAATTGTGAACCTTCAACAGCTTAGTTGGCTAGAATTTGCGTTACTCATACTTAGTCACTGTTCACTTCACCGTGCAATGGCTGTAGTAGGTTCAGGTTACAAGAAAGTTAAAGGCAGCGAAACTGAAACATGGTGTCAGTCACTGACTGTTTTGGCTGTGTGAGGAAATGTAGACGTATCCGTTGAGATACACGTGATAATCAGTGGTTGTTGGAGACTTGGTGATGCACAGATGTATCCAAACATTTTAATTATAATCTTCATATTGAATTTTAGTATTTTCTCCTTTCTCATTAAAACCTTCTGATGACTTGATGTCTTCTCGTCTGTGTTGAGACAAAATGTGGTAACCTAAACCGTTTCGCAATAATGCCAGGTCCTGCAGTGAAATCTGCATCCTTTTTCTCGTCTCAGTATATCCCGTCATTTGAGTTGACGGTTAGCACTTTGAATGTTATGCATCTTACGATACTCAGTGTACTTCATACTAGGTCCGATCTGAAATGTGCGTTGTCTTTTTACACTAACTGAGAGTAAGCTAAGTTCGTTGTGTTATTGTGAGTAAAACTTAGGCACTGTGGTAGAATATGATTCCATTTTAGTTGATTTACCAGATGTATAGAGTGGAGCAGTATTGTTTATTGGATTACGTTTCGGAAATAATTCACTGTCTATAGTACTATCAAGATAACTATACAACTGAGATATTTACAGTTTTTATTTCCTCACTCCCTTTGTGGTATGGGTTGTGAAATTTTCCATATATCTAGAACGTGCTGAGTCATTCCTGTTGCATGTATTAGATGTTGGTTTGATAAACAGATTAAGTTATCAATCTGCATCTGCACCCTGCTATGTTAGTTCTAAGGATTTTCACCCTGTTCATTGTGAATTATCAGTTCATTCTTCAAAGAAGTACTCTTCTACGATAGACCTCTAACCTACTTTTGCTTAACTCCTGACAGAAAATAAGATACTTGCCAAACGCTGGAAATAAGTCCGCTAGTTTACATATCTGCACCGTATTGTTCTTTTGCGAATCAGAGTTGAGCACGTAGACATACTGAATACACCGTTTATGTATCTGCATGGATACAGAAAGTTTTATTTACCTTTGGTTGCAAGAAATATTTTGAAACTTGAAGTCAGCAGCATGCGTGTACTGACTATACTACTTTTTCAGTCGTTTCAGATTAATGTGAGCCACTCTGTCACTTGTCAGTAAGAGACTTCCGATGTACTCTGTTTCTCTATTATTATTTGTCCTTTGGGTTCCTAGTGAAACATCGGGCTTCAGTAGCACGTCTCCATTTCACTCTGTTCTCTGTACTCCTTTAAACCTGACCCACGACTGCCCAGAAACTCTCTGCATCAGCAATTCTGCATCGCATTCAGCTTCCTTTGGAGTCCCTGACAGTGATTCCGGTTAACGAAAAAGCATACTAAATCTAAAGTAAAAACCTGTGTGTGTACGCATCTGACCAAATGAACAATAAGTATCATTCCCTAAAGCTTTAAATGCCTATTCACGAGACGTGGGTTGTTTGTAAGATATGCATGCAAATAGAGTATAGAGATTAACTTGTTCAAGGTAGTTGGCATGTTAAACTCACTTCGCAATTTTTCAGGTTATGGCATGAGGTCCAGCATTAGCAAATGCACCGCTTGACAGGATGTTTACAGCCTAGTTACGCCCTGGCATCTTCACAAACTTCTGCCTTGCCAATAAAACTAGGTTTTTGTTCTGACTTGGTTCATATCTGCATATTTGAGTGAAATTTGTTGCCCAGACCTTCATTAGCCTTATTCATCTTCTAAGAGTCATAATGCCTTGCTTCTCAATAACTAACACCTCATTTTTCGCTTACGGTCGATCGTGAACCTTCGCGGATTGAATTTAGCCGTAGGTATGTGTGTGCCGTGCAGTCGAGTTGAACTCTTGTTACAGTTGTCTGTCAGTCAGTGAAATCACAATTCTCGGTTACCAGAGAATAAATCGCATTAGCTGATGGCTGTGGCTCGCAGATATTAAACTAGGAAAGTCATGAAAGCTTTTTTTAAATTTGAAATTTTCCTGTTTCGTTCGCATTTGGTTGTGTATTCCCTTACTTTAGAAAGAACTCAAAACTCAAATAACATTATTTAAACACTAGGATTTAGTTACAAATATCAGTGAAAAGATGGCAGGATGTGACTAAAGCACACGAGTTCCTGAGCAATGTTGCATAAAGTTAGAATGTGGCGATACCCACCTTTCTTGATAATTCAGACATTCATCTTTCATTCCCCTTCATAATTATTAGGTTGTGAATGGGCAGGGAGTAGGATTACTTTTCGTAAAAGCGTGTTGTACATTTCACAGTCTATATGGATAATATCTGTGCTGTTTAATCAATCCGTGTCTCACTTTTGAAATCGATACTTTTCTTGACTTTCCGCTTACTTTTTGTACTCACTTCAGTTACATTCCGCCCGCGCGCGAAATAATCGTGCCCCAAATCGACCGAAGCGTAATACTGAAGGTGCTGGAGAACAACAGGAATGCCGCCAACAATAAATTCCATCATTTCGCTTGTCAACATTAACTGATTCTTGTATTGAGAGTATTTCTGCAATGCATTTCAAGGTCGCCAAGTACTTATATGATTGCTCGTTTACAAAATAAATGATCAACAGAACTATTAAACGAATTGACTGTGAATTAGCTGTTTTGTTTGCCACATGGTAATATTTCTGACCAATGTTTCTCAGAATTATTCACATATTTAACGTGTTGGCTTTGCTAGTCTTGTCTCAATACAAAAGAAATTCGTTTATTAACATGTTTTTTACAATCATACAAAATCCACAAGTCTTCGGTTGTGAAGACAGAAATTTCAGTGAAGTTTAGAGGTGACTGATTGCGAGGATTGTTGATAGCCATATGCTTTCTTACAGTGTTACATGGTATTGATCATGCGAAGATGCAGCTCAGCGATATATATATATATATATATATATATATATATATATATATATATATATATATATATATATATACAAAGGCACTGGGCATATTCAAGTATCTGCGATTTCCGAAAATATCTGTATGGGGAAAATGAATGCTTATAAGAAACGCTGTTAATTAGGTTTTCTGATGAGAAGTACTTATCATAGATATTTTAGATGTGAACTCTGCATTTCTGAGTATGTAACAGGGTTATGTGTTCAGTTGCCAGACAGAGTTAACAAAGTCAACAAAACATAAGGTGGTGTATTATTTTGTAATAGTCCTGAATTAACAGCACGATAAGATTAGGCAAACACTATTGATATATCGGTGACTGTGTCATGAAGGAAGGAGATTATATTGTTACATCCTTAAGCGGTTCACAATCAATAAATGCCATTAGATGTTTTCTATCATGGTTCTGATTTCATGGAACCCACTTACCGTTATTGTTTGAAATGTCCTCAAATGCCTAATTGTATTATTTGTTCCTAGTGGAACATAGGGCTTCAGTAGCACGTCTCCATTGCACTCTCTTCTCTGCAGTCTTCTGAACCTGACTCCACGACTGCCCACAAGATTTCATTTCTTCCTCACACCATCTCACCGTCGCCTCGGACACCCAACTCCTCGTTCCCCCTTCGAATTGCACTCGAGGCCCCGGCGTGTGATGTCTCCGAATGGTTTTCTCACTGTATGCGCAATCCATCACCTTCTCCTGCATATTTGTTGGGCGATAGCTTCTTGGTTGGCTCGTTGCCAGAGTTCCTTGTTGCTTATTCTTTCTGGCCGTCTGATCTTCAGTATCGAGTCAGCATAGACAGCTGTTGATGAATGTCTGTAGTTTGTTGGGAATACTTTTCGTGACGCGCCAAGTTTCTGAACCATATAGAAGCACTGACTTGACGTTAGTATTGAAAATCTGGATCTTGTTCTTTGTGCTGAGTGGAGTGCAGTAGATCTTCACACTGGTTTCAGGTTAATGAAGGCCTATCTTTCCGATCCCGGCTGCTCCAACGTCATCTGTGATTGAAACGATGCTGTCTAAGTACGTAAAAGGAACTGCTTCCTTCAGGTTTCTCACGTCGATGGTGATTGGTGCTTGTTGTCGTTAGTTGGGTATCCTCACCACTTCTTTCTCTACGTTCACCTGAAGTCCCGTCTTCGCTGCCCCTTCTGTCAACTTGTTGGTTTTCACCTGTAGATATTCGAGTTTGTGCGACATTAGACAAAAACCATCGTCGGCGAAACCCAAATATTCTAGGGTATTTTCATCGGCCAAACAGCGTATGACCACCTTCTCGCTAATCACGGTTTATTGCATGATCAATTCCAGTCAACCACAATCAGTAAAGAAGATCATCGGTGATAGTAGGCAGCCTTGTCTTCACCTCAAAGGTGTCACTGAGCTTTGCATTGTGGATCACTTGGCATGTGGCGTCGTTATGTAGCTGTTGAATGGGATTGAAAAAGGTTTTTGGTATTCCGTATTGTTGAAGCAGTTGCCACATTACTTCTCGGTCGACGCTGTTGAAGGCCTTTTCAAGGTTGAGGTAGAGAGTTGATTGCCATTCTACGCTCTGTTCTGTGATGATACGTAGCGTTTCAATTGTATCGCCATTTGGTTTGTTCTTCCTGAGGTCAGCCTGCCCGTTCCGGTCGTAATTTTGAATCCAGAGCATCTTTTACTCTCCTTAGGATTACGCGGCTTAATATTTTGCCTAAGGTGGACAGCAGCATGATTCCGCGCCAGTTCCTGCAGTGACTTGGGTCTCCCTTATTTGGAAGTTTGACAAGGTAGCCCTTCTTCCCATCAGTGGGCAGGTTCCTTTCCTTCTTCCCAGACCTTCTGCAGTAGTGGTGTGAGGAAGTTCGCTGTTATTCCTGTGTCTATTCTCAGGGCTTCTGGCGGAATTCCATATGCTCTTGTTTCTTTGCCGGATTTCAGCAAGTTTATGGCGTTCGGGACTTTGGCTTTACTCGGTGGGCTTATATTCACTGGTAATTCTGTGGCTAGGTTGATGCTTGTATTTCTGTATGATTTGCAGGTTGATTTAGGAGCTTTTTGAAGTGACCGACTCATTGTTTTCTTTGTTTCTCCTTTTTGGTAACTAGGTTTCCTCACTATCTCTCATTGGTTTCATCTGAGTTGATCTCTTCCCAGATAGCAACCTGGTTATTTGAAACAGAGTTGTCAGGTGAATCTCCTACCTGACACCTATCGTAGAAGTGTCTTTTGTCTTTGCGCACACTCCTCTCACTTCTTTGCCCAGTGTAGTGTTATATAGGTTGTGTTCAGTTCCTCTTTTCGTTGTTGATCCCCGCACTGCACTCGTTCGTCTGCTTCAACATCTCTATCAGCCTCCATGTGTCCGTCGAGATCCATCGGTCCTTCTTTTTTCTTCCTTCCTTACATGGTTACGCAGGTTTATTTCCATGTCTTCCTTCAGGTATGTTTCTCAATGTCTCCCATTTTGTCCTAATGGTTGACCTGAAGATGTCCTTTGTAGTTTCGTCCTTTAGTTCCTGTTCTGGGTGTTAAACTTGAAGTGTGGTCTATCACAAACACCTTTGAAGGCTGTCAACTTAATTTTGAAGGTAGGTTCCTTGCACCAGATAGTGAGTGGTATGATTCAACGTCTGCTCTCCTTCTTGATCCTGATCTCTTGTCCAGTAGGCCGCGTTTCCACTTTCTGGAGATTGAAATGAAAGCAATCTAATTTTTCGTGTGTCCATTTTGTGATATTTATGTCGCTTTGTGAATATCCTTGTGTTTTGTACACATCAAATCGTTGAATACGCAGAAGTCTGCAAACAGCTTCATTCTCATTCATTTCAGTGAGTGCTTCTCGACCCATTGTTGGTTCTCTCCTATGTTGTCCGCAGCCAGTGTGGCATTCATTTTCACCCATTAGAATTTTGATGTCGCCAACTGGGCTAGGGTCTTGTCCATTACTGATTGCAATTGTCTGTAGAATCCCTCTCTTGGTCTGCATTGCTTTTTGGCGTGTAGTATTTTATGATTGTAAATTTCCATCCTTTTGAGTTGAATCTTGCTGTCATGATCCTTGAGGAGGAGATTGGTTCCCACTGCATGAAAGAGAGCCTTGGATGCTCTTCAAGGGGACATCATGATAGCCACTCGAAAACTCGTGGTTGTCACCTGGGTGACAGTATCGGAGTGGATTATTGACTCTCCAGTTGACAGTTGAAAGAGTCCACTTCCATTCCATCTACTTTCGCAGATTGCTAGCCTAGCACGTCTATGCTATACCTTATCTCTTTCGCAATATGGGCAGCCTTTCTAGGTCCCAACATTGTTCGGACATTCCACGTCCCCATGCTTACTTTCGCTTTCATCGAGAGAAGATACATCGGCCAAGTTTCCTCCTCGAAGGCTTTCACCAGCTGGCGTCATTTTGTCTCTCCGATTCCAGTAAGGAGTAAGTTTAATTTTATTTTTTATATTTTTTTACGCTTTAAAATTTCTTTAGAGGTTGGATTGGTTTCACGGGGTAGGGTTACTAGCCCTATGCCCAACCTTCCCTCTTTACATAGGTTCAGGACTGGCTAGTGAACTAGTTACTTAGTCGAGTTTGCTTAATTTGTATACTCTGCAGTTATTTCGTATGCAATGGTACACTATCCCTTTAGTTTCCAAACAGCCATAAAGCCGCATCTGGTCAGTTCGATGCTGTAAACGTGAACTATAAGATACGTATTGAAGAATTCGATAGAAGAGAAACAGGTGGGGGTAGCTTTGTATGTAACTTCTGGTTATCTCTATATAACATTCTGAACAATAAAATTGAACCGCTATATGGCCATGCACCCAGATGTAGTAAGAAGACGAAAATTAAGTGAATTTATTCCTTAGCGTCACCTGACAATTGAGTTCCTACTTCAGCGTTTGACTGATGCCATTGTGTCCAAACTATTCAGATCACAAATCAGATGTCCACTTTGGATATATCCGCGACTTGGAAATACGTAGGATTATAGTTGTTGTTGGTGTTGGGTCCGAACGATTCTGTTTCGTTATTTTTCCCTCAAATTTTCCTGTCATCTGTGTTGCCGGTTAACACTGCATGTATTGCATCTTGCGATATGCAGTGTACTTCATACCTGGGCTAATCTAAAATTCCCCTCATCCTTCCAGACCAACTGTCTGAAAGCTACAATCCAAGTTCTTTAAGTCTAATAGGATGGTTTTATCTCTGTTAAGTTGGTCTCATTTGTGATTGCTATACTTAACCCGACCGATAGCTGCTACCTTGACGTGGTGGTCGGACCAGCATATCACAGTAACCCAAAGAGCTACACTGGCTGGAACGCTTATTCCTTCGGAGTCCTACCATACCAGAAAGATCTGTTGGAGAGTGGCAAGACGAAAAGAAGTTACCGTTGTAGTGTATATTGCATTATGAAGGGGTCTAGGGGCGAAGTCATATTGCTGGCTGGATGGGGTGTGACAGCAGCAAGGTGTTTCCCTCAGATGAACGGGAGTGCCTTCCCAGTGGAGACGAGGTGGGTAGGAAGAGTTAGCCTCAAAAATACCACATTCATCTCTGCTCCATGGTCATCCGGTCCCGGCGGTATGGGTTCCGTTTCTTTCCGGCGTTAGATCAACCAAGCTTCAAAAACAACCCACAAAAGGCTGCTTGACAGGCCTCAAGCGGATTTCTGATGGGCTCTGCGGTCAAAAATGTTCTCTCTCAGGTACCTTAAGAAGAAATAGCCCTCCACAGTGTGGGCAGTCGAGAGGTGTCAGCTGCGCTCACGCTTCCTGTAGTATACAAACCATAACCTATCTTCCTAAGCTCTTTCACC